CCTTTTTCTTTTTTCTTTTTTGGAGAGGTTTTTGTTATAGGGCGCGTGTGCTCGCCAGACAGACAGAAAGCGAGAAATCACGCCCCAGGGGGGATGGCCACACTGTAATCCCTTCTCCTCTATTCTCCTCTCGGGATCTTGGGCACGCACGCACATGCGCCCGGCGTGAGTTTAAGCCACCGGGTCCAGGACTTGAATCATGGTCGACTACATGGGAGTCCAGCAACATAGCCATTACGCTAACTGCTGGTCCCTAAAAAAAACCTTTTGATTTTGAAGTAATTATAGATTCAGAAGAGGTACGAGGAAACGTAGAGGGAAGCCCCATGCTGTTAACCAGCTTCCCATAATGTTAATATCTGACACAACACTAGCACAACAGCAAAACCACAGTGACTTTTCAAAAACAAATTAATATGCAAGATAGTTTCTAACTGTCTGTTATGAAATAATTACACTAAAGAATGTGTCTGCTGTGACTTTTCGAATGACCTAATGCATACATTTTTCTGAATGGCTTATTGATTTTCTAAAATAATTAGAGATTTTGAGATGAAGGTGTGCCTATCTAGAGGAATAACGACATTGTTTGTTTCCTAATTCTAAACCTTTAAGTTGTAGACAAATCTCATACTAGTCAATCCCTTAAGGAAACCATAATGAAGTTATGTAATCAAAGATTACAAAATGCTATCGTTTTTCTCGTACACGGTCATGGATCACGTCCATCAATGACAGGTGCACATTCTCACGTTCTAGTACTTCAGCGGAGTGTTTACAGCATGACCTTCTCTCTGCAGACCACAAGCTTGTCAGCAGAAAAGGCAATTTTTAGTCCTCAGTTGTTTTCCAGTTAAACATATGGACATGCCCTGTTACTCCGAGCTGGCATTTCCTAAAACAGGATTTTTATTTTATTTTATTTTATTTTATTTTTTATTTTTTGCCTGAGGGAGCATGTGCTTGTGAGAGAGAGAGGGAGAGAAAAAGAGAGCGAGTGTGCAAGCGAGAGAGCACCTGCCGTGGGGCATGGTCACGCTGCCACCCCTTTTCCTCCATCTCTCCCTCCTTTCGGGATTCTCGGCATGCATGCACACACTCAGTGTGTTTTTCAAGACACGGGATCTGGGATTCAAACTGCACAGTCATATAGGTAGGAGCCAACTGCCTTAGGTGCTAGGCCGTGGGCTGGCCCTAAGCCAGGAAGTTATCTGCATAAAATTTAGAACATTTAAGAGTAGAAATGCTGATGAACGGAGGCCCTGTTTTTATATATATATATTTATATAATTTTTTGTTCATTTGCTTCCTCCTTTTTTTTTTTTTAATTCTGCCATAAGGCACACGCACTTATCAGAAAGAAAAAGACGGGTGGTGTAAGCATCGCACAAGGGAAATGGCCACACTGCAACCCCTTCTTCTTCATACCCCTAGGGATTTGGGGCATGCACAGTCACCTGGCATGTTTTTCAAGCTACTGGGCTCAGGACTTAAACTGCACAGTAGGCCATGCGGGACCCAGCTGCTTGAACCAGCACGCCACCAGCTGGCCTTCTTGTTTATGTTTAAACAACATTTTACTAGTGTGAACTGTGGTTGCTCCCTATAGCCTAAGAGTCTAGCAGATTTGAAACGATACGCATTTTCTATCTGTAAAAAACAGGGCTTAGTTATTTACAAATGCATAAGAGAAATCATTAATATTTTTCTTTTGTGCCATCTGATGGCAAGGTGGTTAAGGTAGCTGGATCCCACATGGTCAACTGAGTGGTTTGAGTTCTGGACCGGGAGGCTTGAAAAACATACCTACCCAAAATCCTGAGAGGAGCACGGAGGAGAAAGGATTGTGGTGTGGCCATCATTCCTGGGAGGGGTAATTTCTTTCTTTCTCTCTCTCTCTCCCCGTATCCCTCTCTGACAAGCACATGTACCCTATAACAAAACTTAAGGAAAAAAAATCTTTCCAAGTACTCATTACTTTGTGTCATAACAGCTATTTAGCACTTGCTCTTGGAACCTCAATTTCCTAGTTCTTAAATCAAACCTTAACTGAAAAGCCTAATGGTAATTCAATAAACGTTACCTTGAGGGGCCTACGAGAGAAACAGTGGCATAAGAGTCACAGCTTTGTCCATTTATGAGAGGCAACCCATGGCAGTCCTTGATGCTAAAGTAAGAGAGATTCAACGTATTATTATTAAAGTTAAACAATATAAAACATTATCTTTAAATACAAATTAATGTATTCAAAGGGTTCGAAATTGTTTCCCATGTGTCAATGGTTATACGTGTATACGACATCTATGTGAAATCTGTGTGTGTGTGTGTGTGTGTGTGTGTGTGTGTATGTATATGTGTTTATTTATTTATACTATATTTTCAAAACAGGCCTAAACGAGCTCTAATCAGCACCAAGACTACCGAATAACTTGGAACGCATTTCCTCACTCTTAACACTCGACAGGGTGCATTCTACATTTTGTGGTTTGACAATACATCAAAACTGCTGTGGCTTCTGATAAGGGAAGAAAGCGGTACAAACCTTAAGTGAGAAACTCAACCGAGTCCCCTGTGGCATCACATCCTCTGCTAAAGCATGAATGACAAACAAGGAAATAACTGCGGTTTCCACTTCACATGTGATTCACAAAGACAGGGCGAGCCTCACAGAAGGCTGTGAGCTTTCATTCTGATGCTCAGTAACAACTCCTGCATCGTTCTATAGAAAACACCTCAGACCATGAACTCCACGGTCAACTACCAGCTCCATGGATTATAGCCATTGCTATTCACAGAGAATGCAGACTTTGACGTAATGATTTGTTATTCAAGTTTTCTCACCAAATAGTACTGAGCTCATGAGTTTAGTTTGATGTGTAAGGGTCTGCATTTCCTAACGCCTAAGAGAAATGCGTGTTTGTGAAAGGACTCTTTGTTGGAGGATGTAGGCTGTGTGGCAACATCCTTCTTTCTCTTCATAACCCACAAATCTCATTTGTGGGTGAGGTGCAAATTAGGTACTGCCAACTAAAGACAGAAATGATAATGACTCATTTCTATTAAACTGGGCATAAAAACTCAAATTTTAAAAATTTCTGAAGCTAACCAAAGAAGGCATAAGCCAAGATAACAACTCTAGTTTTCAATGTCAGGCTTGGGTACAAATTTTCCCTCTGTACATACTGTCTGAAACACACACTTCTCGGGCTTAACCTCAAAAATGATCTCTGATTTTTATATAGTATTTGCAGTTGACTGTGTGGTTTCACAAAATGCACCTACTTTTCATAACCGCCTTTGAGGATGGCACTATCATGCCTCAATGAGGTCAAGTGTGAGAGTAATGAAGTGAAGCTCAACAAAGTGACAATTCGCAAGAAGTAGATTGAGACTCAACTTCTACTGTGTTAACTCCGTTGCTAACGCCAGGACTGTGCCTAAAAATACTCCATTACTTTCTTTGCAGTAACAAATTTATTCATATAAACTCTAATTGCGGAAAAATCTTAATTACAAAAATGTACTTTTTTATAGTTATGAGGTATAAAAAAACAGAGAAAAATGCAATGTAGTTGCAATGCAACTTCCGTAAGAGTACCCACACACCAAAACAATAACGTCCATGAAGTGTGAGCCCGTAAAAATCATCAGAAGTATTCTTAATTTTCAATTGTAAGATAGTTAAAAATCAGGTTTTTTGCCAAACTTCTGTAACATAATTAAATACAGGTTATTTTATTTGCTACATATAGGATGAATTATTATTAGGTTGTAAGAAAAGTTATGACATATCTTTCTATGTTTTTCTATGCAAAGATGACCCAGTATTTTCCTAAGTTACCTAGAATATCATTGTTTTTCTAATTTGTATATCAAACAATCTTATGTCAATAACAATGGGAAGTCAGGAAACAAATGCTAAAACAATCGTAGTATACTGAATTGTCTTGTATTTTGTTTATATGTGACATGTAAACCATTTGTCTTAGTATATTACCTAGAAATTACAAACAAAAATAAATTCAGTTCAAATGTACTTATAACAAACTGATCTGAATCTTTACTTTGGATTTTTTTTTAAACTAGAAGACAAAAGTTAATTTTTCTTCTTCTTTTTTTTTTTTTTTAAATAAGGCTTTTGCCATAGGGTACGTATGCTGGACAGAGAGAGAAAGACAGACAGACAGTGAGAGGGAAAGTGAGACATCATCCCTTGGGGGATGGACACACTACAATCCCTTCTCCTCCATTCTCCTCTTGGGACTTTGGGTATACACACACACACATGACCAATGTGATTTTCAAGCCACCAGGTCTGGGACTCACACCGTGGTCAGCTCTATGAATGGTCCATCTATAACACTTACAAAATTAAAGGCAAAGGAAAGTCTTGAAAGCAGTTAGAGAAACAGTGCAACACCTCTAGGTAAAAAGCAATTTGAACGATCATGGAGTTCTCATCGGAAACCATGGAGGCCAGAAGAAGTACATTTTTCAGGTGCAGGAAGAAAACAACTGTCACTTGGAATTCTATTATATATCCAGGGTAAGTACTTTTAAGAAATGAGGAGGAATCAAGATATTTTGAGATGAAGGAAAACTAAGAATGTATCAGCAGATCTACTCTACAAGAATGGTAAGAGGAAATTCTCTGAATACAGAGAATCTGATAAAAGAAGGAATCTTGAAACAACGGGAAGGAAAGAACACATAAGAGCAGAAATGTGGGTACACACCACAGACTCGCACTCTCCTTCTTTTACCATTTCTAAACTGTGCTAGATGAATGAAGCAACAACTGTAAGGTTATTTGATATGTTTTTCAACATATGTAGAGAAAATATTTAAGACAAAGTAGATTACAAAATGAAGTAGGGTTAAGGGATTTAAAAGGTTTCCACAATTCATTCTGAAGGGGAATATGTTAACACTAGTGGACTCTATGTTGCAAGTAAAATGCAGTACCTAAAGCAACCACTAAAAATATTCAAAGAGACACACTATAGATAGAAAAAGAGAAACTGCAGAAAAATCAAAATGGCTTTTTTTTTTTAAATTGTCAGAGGGGACTTGTGCTTGCCAGAGAGGGAGACAGAGCGAGAGGGAGGGAGGGAGGGTGAAGAAGCAAACACCAATGGGGTGCTGTCATGTTGCATTCCTCCATCGTGGCTGGATTGTGTGTGTGCACACGCACACATTCACATTCACACACACACACACACATACACACACACACACACACACACACACACAGTGTACCCAAGAAGCTACTGGGGGTAGATTTGGTCACATGGGATCTGGCTCCCTTAAATGACAGGTCATGGTTCCAGGCCAATCAAAACAGAATTCTAAAAAATCTTCAGGTAACCCAGAGGTAACCCACAGGAAAAAGAAAACAAGGGACAAAAAGAAAACAAACCAACGAAAAGGCAGACGCAAACCTAATACATCAATAGTTATATAAAAAATAAATGGCAAAAAAGACTGAGATGGACAAAAATGATATTTTAAAAAGTGACCCAACTGGGTCAGCAGGTAATGTGGAGGCTAAGGTGCTAGATCCCACAAAGTCAACTGTGTGGTTCAAATCCTGGGCTCAGGTGCTTGAAAAACACGCTGGGCACATGTGTGTGTGCCTAAAATCCCAAGAGGAGAGTAGAAGAGACGGGACTTTGGAGTGGTCATCTGGCCTGGGTTGATTTCTCACTTTCTCACCCTGTCTCTCTCCAGGAAATGCATGTGCCCTATAGCAAAAAATAGATAAACATGACCCAACTATATTCTTTCTAGAAAAAATTATACACAAGTAATTGGATAGATCTCAGTGAAAAAAAAAAAAAAAGTCAGTCTCAAAAGATTAGATAAAGTTCCATTTACATAATATTCTTGAAATGACAAAATTATAGATATGGAGAAGATTATAGGTTGCCAAGGGTTAGGATGGTGCTGGAAAGAAGTAGACATGACTATAGACAGGTAGCATGAGAAAGCTCTTTATAGTAACAGAGTAGTTCCCATACCCGGAGTTTGGTGGTGGTTACACAAATCTATGTACGTGATGAAATTACATGTAAATACACACACACACATTGTACCCATGCTGATTTCTTGTTTTAAATATTGTGCTATAATTATGGAGGGTGTAGTCACTGGAAGACACGGAGTGAATGGTATATAAGACCTCTTTGTATCATCTTTTTAACTGTCTATAAATCTATAACTATTTCACAAAAATTTCTAAAGAATTATTCATTCATTTAATTCCATGTATTATTATTATTTTTTAATTTGACCAGAGAGAGACAGAGAGAGAGAGAACGGAAAAGGGAAAAAGTAAGCTGCCAGGTCTGAGACTCACACTGCAGTCGGCCATGTGGGACCCAGCACCTTTAACCACCATGCCACTTGCCGGCCCCAACTATCTCAAAAATTTTAAAGTTAAAAAAAAAAAAATCAAACTTTCAGAGTTCAAATCTAGGCAGCTCCATTTCTTGCATGAACTTAGGCTTATTTAACCAATCTATGTATTTATTATCTATAAAATGAAGATTACAGTTAACTACCATAATGACAATAAGTAATAGATTTAAAAAAAAAATCAACTATTGACCTATGCAACAATGTGGATGTATCTCAAAAAGCATTACGTTAAGTAAAAGAAGTCATAAACAAACTGCATATTATATGAATCCACCAGATTCTGAACCTAGTGGCTTGAAAATCACACTGAGTATATGTGCGTGTGTGCCCCAAATCCCAGGAGAAGAATGGAGGGGAAGGGAATGCAGCATGGCCATCCTCTCGAAGGGATGATTTCTCACTTTTCCTCTCTGTGTGTGTGTGTCTCTTTCTCTCCAGCAAGCGCACTCTCCCTATGTCAAAAATATAAACAAAACAAAACAAAACGATAGTAGCAGAAATCAGATCATGGTTGCCAGAAGCTGAACTGGAGAGAGAGGACTGAACCACACCTCAGAGTACAGCCTTTTGGTGTGGTATACATTTTTTTTTAATTTATATTTTATTTCATTTTATATTATTTTTAGAAAAATTTTTACAATAGGGATCATGTGGCTCACTAGATAGAGACAGACAGAAAGCAAGAAATCACCCCCCAGGGGGTATGGGCATGTGGCAATCCCTTCTCCTCTCAGGATTTTGGGCACGCATGCACATGCACTAGGAGTGAGTTTTAAGCTGCCAGGTCCAGGACTCAAACTGCAGTCAACTACATGAGAGTCCAGTTATGTAACCATTATGCCATCTGCTGGTTCCTTTTTGGTAAGGTTTTGACTTTTTTTTTTTTTGGAGATAGGGCGCGTGCGTTCGCCAGACAGAGACAGACATAGAGACAGAAAGCGAGAAATCACCCCCCGGGGGGGATGGTCACGCCGCAATCCCTTCTCCTCCATTCTCCTCTCAGGATCTTAGGCACGCATGCACACGCGCCCGGCATGAGTTTTAAGCCACCGGGTCCGGGACGCGAACCACAGTTGACTATGTGGTAGTCCAGCAACATAGCTATTACGCTAACTGCTGGTTCCCCAGGTTTTGACTTTTGAAATCATGTTAATATTCTACAAATAAAGTTAAATAAGCAAAGATGAGGGAGGATCCTTAAACTGAATGCAAACGAATAAAACCAACCCAATTAATTAACTAATTTTATTTCAAATGACTATCATAACCAAACTGAGGCAGAGAGGGAGTAATGGAAAGAGGCTTAATCCAATTTCCCTCACTCTATGCTCTTAGTTTAGGGGGAAAAACACACACGCACGCACACACACACACACACACACACACACACACACACCTTAAACTGTTTTTAGTAGATAAACCCAAATTGGAGAACATTCAAAAAAATAACTGGCCCATATTCTTTCAAAATATTAATACCATAAAAGACACAGAAAAACTAAAAATAATTTCAGGTTAAAGGAGATTAAAGAGACATATACACTAAACATAACATATGATGTTGGACTAGATCCTTGCTTGATAGGGAAGATGGACTGAAGATCACTGGGAAGCTGACAAAGGTGGAGTATGACCACTGCAGAGGAAGCAGTAGACTGCAACTATAGATCAAAGTACTGTAACTGCTAAACTTCCTGAATTTGGAAACTGCACTGGAATGTTCTATCATCATTATTATTCTATCCTAGAACATCATTATTCTTAGGCTATACACACTGATACATTAAGTGATAAAGGGTCATAATAGTATGCAACAGGGATCAGCAGTTGGCGTAATGGCTATGTCACTGGACTCTCATGTAGTAGACCATGGTTCAAGTCCCGGGCTGGTGGCTTAAACTCACGCCGGGTGTGTGTGCGTGCATGCCCAAGATCCCAAGAGGAGAATGGAGGAGAAGGGATTGCGGCGTGGCCATCCCCCCGGGGGGTGATTTCTCACTTTCTGTCTCTCTGTCTCTCTCTGCTTTTCTGGTGAGTGCATGCGCCCTAAAGCAAAAACCTCCCCCTCCCCCCCCAAAAAATGGTATATAACCTTCTTTTAACAGGTTAAAAATATCAGCTAAATAAATGCTATTTTATATTACACACACACACACACGCGCGCAAGAGAATACCTCAAAGGAGCTAGCATTTTTCAAAATTAGGAGCACAGATTATAGTTTTGAACACCAATAGGAGAATACTACTATTCTATTTTCTGGCTCTAAGATCTGTGGATATAATAAGAAAACAGCCTCTGACTGAAAAGGCTGTGGGAGCACCTTGGGAAACAGATACCAATACAGGAGAAAATACTTAGAAGTGGTGAAGGCTCTTAGGTAGTTTGTTGGTAACACAGGTAAGGGTTTGGAGGGAGCAGGAAGAGGTAGGGAGATAAGTCTGGGTGATTAAAAAAAGACTTGAGGGTGCAAAAGGTAAAACGGAAGTCAAAGTGGGTTTGCATCAACACTAGTCATCGCAGAGTGGGCATTCAGTCTAGTCTTGAGGGCGCGAAAGCTCTGCTCAGTGAGGAGTTTCCAGAGGACTCCCCTAGAGGGGCTTCCCGTCTCTCCAATGCCTGGCAGTTACCACCTCAATGTCTACATCCATATCACGTAATCCACGTGCAATAAATCCTAGTCGAATGAGACTGACTCACCATAACCTGAGTAGACGAGATAGGAGAAAAACTGAACATCAACTTAAAGAAATGACATAGATTCTCATTTTTAAAAAAAGTTTATGAAGTATTTAAATTAAATTGGTATAAGATTCGAAGAAAATGAAATGAAGAATTATTTCAAGTTGAGTGTGGTAAAAGAAATATGCTTACTGTACAACAAGTTGCTGGCACACAGTCCCATTCTCTGTTATCAGTTCATTCAGTTTTAATTCAAGGTGAACTTTACCCTATAATGACACACACAAAAAAATTATAAACTGAGTATCTATTTTACTGACAAAATAGGAATTAAAGGTATGCACTTTTTCAGAGACACCCATAATATCTGATTACCCACTGACCACTAGCACGTCTTTGCCACCAATAAGTACTCATTAAATGGATAATAAACAACAATGTAGATCAAAGTCCTAAAAGATAAGAAACAATCAAATGCTTGTATCAAACATGGTATTCAAATTTAAATATTTTATGAGCAGTTCAGTAAACATTTATGAACCTCTACACAGATTAAAAAGAAAGACAACGTTTAAGTCTTAGGAAATTTTGAGTAAAATCAAACTGTAAAATGTAGAATGCTTTTTTCCAGAAAAGATAAATCAGCGTTAAGAAAGAGACTGTATCATTAAAAGGCAGAGAAATCATATAATTCTAAAATAATAAAACTAAGTAAAACCAGTAAGACTCAATTTGTCAATGCTTTCTTTTTATCAAACAATGTTTACAGAATACTTACTATGTTTTTTTCTTTTCTTTTCTTTCTTTCTTTTTTTTTTTTTTTGGAGAGATTTTCACTGTAGGGCACGTGCGCTCGCCAGACAGACAGAAAGAGACATAGAGACAGAAAGCGAGAAATCACCCCCCAGGGGGGATGGTCACGCCGCAA